TTTCCTTGGAGGCATTTATCCTAGTCCCTTTTACTCAGCACTTATGCGAGACACGGTTCCTTCATATGCTACTTGATCCACCATATGGAGGCACAAATGTCAACAGAAGAAGCTAGTAATGCCTACAGGAAGTAATTTAAGCAACCTTTCGGAAAGCGCAAAAATGCTCCTATAATAGATAACTCATTATCGAAGTAAAATAAATAATGGAAGAATGACCTACCTCCTAGGCCTCCATTCCACGACAAGGATTTCGATCAGAGGAAGAGTATACACCTCTCAATGCATCTTGAACTAATGTACTGATGGTCATTCAAGATCAGGAAAATATAAAGTGGTCTAATGCTTTAAAGCCGAACGTAGGAAATCAGGAACAATACTTTTATTTCCACCGCAGTCATGAACACACTACTGAAGCTTACATATAGCTTAAGGATGAGATTGAGAGGCTAATCCGATAAGGATATCTCTGATAATTCATCCAAAATCCAACTGCTCGAGATAAAATTGGTCCTATTGGGGGGTAAAATCAACATCAACAAAGGCAAATGTTGAATAATATTCAAATCACTGGTAAAATTTAATGACCATGTAGTTCGTGTATTTGTGTTAGTAATACTATTTGTTTTGTTGTATCGTGCCTCTTATATATTAAATAGGGTGTCAGCTTGATATCCCTAATGTTATCTTCCAAATTTAACATTATGTTGTTCCCATACATATAACTTATGTGTTGAGTATAATGTAACTTATATATCTCTAAGTCATACTAGAGACTCATTGTATTGTTTTACATAATAAGATAATGCGTTGTTCAGTTTATTCTAATATTGTCCCATTCTTTAAAAAAGATAAAAAAAGAATGACAATAAAAACTACTGATAAATATAATCTCTTTATCCATGATTTGAGAAATATGCAATCTTTATTGTGTCTTAATCACTGAATGATCAATCCCATGGGAATTCGATCAGACATCTTCCACACAGGTTAATGTCATTGATCAAAGCTCTGACATACAACCTCGGATAACTTACACATCCTAGGAGGATGCCAATTAAATCTTAAATCCTTGATTCGAGAAATGCATAATCTTTATTGCGTCTCAATCACTAGATGATCGATTCTGGGGGATTCGATCCGACCTCTTCTATACAGGTTAACACCATCAAGCAAAGACTTTGACATACAACCTCGGATAGGTCATACATCCTTAGTAAATTCTCTCAACCTCTTCCACACAAGTTAACATCACCGAGTAAAGGCTCTGACATACAACCTGAGAAAGGTCAAATATTCTTGATGGATTCTCTCGGCCTCTTCCATATAGGTTAAAATCATTTAGTATGGCTCTAACATACAACATCATATAGATTATACATCTTTGGTGGATTATCTCGATCTCTTCCTTATAAGTTAACGTCATTGAATATGGCTCTGATATACAATCTCAAATATGTCATACGTCCTTGGAGGATTCTCTAGACCTCTTTCACAGAATTCAACATCATCGAGCAATACTCTGAGTAGACAATATTCTCTCTAAAAAAGATTTCATAAAAGTGATTGATGAAATCATCACTTATATAAAGACCCTAGCAGTCTAAAAATGCCTCAAAAAATATGGGGGCAACAAATTAAAGTATGTCTCAAAGATGCATAAATAATTCATCTTTCTTCGTTGGACAAGTTCTCAACTTTTTATATAATATCAATGGAGTTACATAAATCCAACATCATATTCAAGTATATATTTATTCTAACTAGAAATTGAAATTTTTAAAAAAAAAGTACAGTGATGTCATTTGTATAAGTTATTATCATCAAGCAACAAGCAACTTCAAAATGGTAAAATATCCTTGGTGAATTCAAGTGACCTCTTTTTTATTAAAGCATCTCCTATAATATTTTCTTCAAATAAAGAACATAACCTGATCAACATCAGACCTCCACTTAGTTAACAGTATTAGTGTGTTGCCAAAATGTTGGCATCACACACTGCTTCGACCCCTTAACTCAAGAATGTCTAATGTCAGTATACTTCAGTATGGATGCATATTGCCTTAACAAAATACCACTGAACACCCGCCATTATTGAACCTTCATTTAATATCTGTTGGCGATCCTTCACTTTATATATGTCATCATCGGCTTCTTGCTCAACTTCTGATAGCAGCACACCCTCAAGCTTTCTTCTTCAGCTCTACACTCGGCCATTGACTGCCAACAGACTTTAACTTGATCGTCCATCTTCAACAGACTTATGCTTAAATGACGTTGAAATTCTTCCCGTCTACTAATAACTTATGGTTCTCCTCTCTAGTACTATTGCCACAAGATCTTCTCAAATCACCCTCAAATATAAGAATCATTTGACCTTCTTTTGTCAAGGATAGATTAGTGGAGAGAACAAACTCTCATCATGGCTTCTTCTATACAAGAGAGGGGTGCTGAAGCTTGATAGGAGAATGTCACCTATCTCCGATAATGAAATGACTCTAATGTAATAAGAAGAACACAAGAAAAGAAAAAAGTACATAAAAATCTCCTTCTACATAAGAGAGGGGCATTGAAGCTTGATAGGAAATGCCACCTATCTTCGAAATTGGAATGTCGCTCATGTAAGAAGATAGCAAAAGAAGAAGATAATTGAATGAGAAAAAAATTTCTTATACATTAAAGAGGTGCACAAAACTTAAGCGGGGAAAGTCACCTATAAAAAATAGTAGAAGGCCTCTATAGCAAGAAGAAAATGGGGGAGAAAAGAAATGAAATGTTATAAAAAATCGAACTTCTATACAATGAGAGGGGAACTGATTTTGCGTAAGAAAAGTCAACTATGAAAAAAAATTGGAAAATCTCAACTGTAAGAAAGTCAGAGGAAGAAGAAAGAAGAAGAAGCAATTTCCCCCCTGGCCCAAGGGGGGTATTTATAGTATATTTTGGGAGAGGACAAGCTTCCAAAATATTCTGAAATTTTCAGAATTTTTTTTTAATTAAAAAAATAATCAAAATATTATTATATAGAGAGGGTACGCCCCTTTAGCCCGTGGACGTGCGGGCCATTTGGCTGCCTAAACAGATCTGGACTCCAATTTTGGGCCCGGACAGTCCAAATCAGATGTTTTTGGGGTCCCCAGATATGTCTTTCGACATTCCACACTCCATTTTTATGTTTTTGGAGCTCAACGGGGCATCTATAATCAAATTTAAGAAAATTTATAATTTTTAGAACATAATTTTTTGTGATTCGACTAATGTAAAATATCGAGACTAGTATTTTTGGACTTCTTGATTGTTGCCGTCCGAAAATAGGGGAATCTGATATATCATCAAAAAATTATCTTGATCCGGCACGAATCTCGAGGCAAAATAAGGTGGGAAATTTTAAAAATTAAATCTGGGATCGTCTAAACTCTGATTTCAACAAACTTATAGTCAAACTGAACGTCTCAGAAATACGAACTTAACGACACAAATTCAACTTGATCTTAGCCCAAATGGGTCCAAATCGAAGACCCGAAGCACATTTGAAAGTTTCAATCCATAATTTCAATTATCAAACAGATTCCAAATATGACATGCTTATAGTTGAATTGAGCGGCTTGACGAGATAAATCCAACAAGCCCAAGATCATCAAATTCTAATGCCATTATAGCCTTCAAATGCTTGATAAATGGTCCACGATCAAATGATTCAACATCGGTCGTTCATTCAAATCACTCCCAATTTATCCCCGATCTTCCTACTATTTACTAGTCATGTCATTATCAGAAAACTATAAATTGCCCCTCATTTCTCTTAAGAGGGTACTCAAGTAAGAAGAAGAAGAGAAAAAAAGGAGGGAAGAAGCTCCTCCATCAGTGCTGGAGTTCTGCCCGACTTTCAAGTGACGCGTAGTTCCGCCCGACGTTCAAGTGACGCCGGATTCCGCCCAACTTTCAAGTGACGTCGGAGTTCCGCTTGACTTTCAAGTGATGTCGGAGTTCCGCCCGACTTTTAAGTAATGTTGGAGTTCCCCCCGACTTTCCAGTGACGCAGAAGTTCCGTCAAGTAACATTAGAACTCTCTCCGACAAACAACGGACACTAGCATTTTGATATATGTGTGCAACTGAATTTCAATCCGGGAGTTGATTAGTGTAATCTGATAGTCCTAAACTTTCTTTGGTTTCCACGTCAACCTTTTGTAATTCAAGCAAACACTAGTGGAATTGAATCAACTGGGCATGACCATGTGATTTTTCCTTTTCTTGGATTTCCACGTAAAAATCCAAGTGTTTTATTTATTTTCTATTTGTGTGTTTGATATCCGTATAATGCTGAGACGAAAAATTCTAACTCTATCGTCACGTATATTCTAGTCCTAATTACCAAAATCTTCTCATCACATAAAATTAGAAAAAAAAAACAATATATATATATATAATAAAGAAAAATTATGAAAATTATTAGAAAACTAAAACAATAAAAAAAAAATTGTCCCAAATGATCCCTAAAATTGTGATCTATCAAAATAGAATTCTTCTCAAATCCAACCATTAATATTGCAAATAAAAAACTAATTATATACAACACTATTCTCAAAATAATCTATTAATTTTAAAATCATCCTCACACAATTGACAATTTATACCATAATATTCTCACACAATTTTTTCCTCTAAAATAAACAAACCAAAAATAAAATTAAGGGTCTGTTTGGGACGGCTGCAACTTTTTATAATGTTCATTATAAAATTGTTATGATTAAAATAACTTGGGCTTCGTTTATGACATCTTTTTAATTATTTTTTAAAGCAACTTTTTAATATAAATTTTTTTTTAACTAAAATTTTTTGTACTTGAAAACTATTTTAAAAAACATTAAGAAAATAGCCGCAAATGAAGCCTTAGTTATTTTGGTCATTAAAAATTGCTTTTCACAATAGAATCTTTTTTAAAACTTTGAAAATTAGTAGCAAAATAAAATTGTAATTATTCTCTGAAAATCTAAGTAGTTAAAAAGCTGTCCCAATCAGACCCTAATTAAGTGAAAATCTTATAAAAACTACCAATAAATGAATCTCATCAGCCCTATCTATTTACAAGTTATGCCATCTCCTTCATCTCTTTTTCTGATAATCTCTATTAAGCTTGGCAAGCTTAGAACAGAAGCAGCTAAGGAAAGCAAAAAAAGCCGAAAGAGCGCACATTGCCCATGAAAGCGCCACCAATAACCAGTCCTTTAAACCCGGTTTGGGCGGATGGCACCGGTCCGCAACCACCAGCGCTCGGTAGACTGCCTCTGCAACGGCGTAAGCCGTGACCGGTTCGAACTCATCGATGTGGACGCCGTGCTCGTTCAGGCAGGGAATGTCGTATACGCCGGAAGTTTCTGCGACGCCCAAATAGTCGCACAGGGCCACCCTCGTATCGATCCTCTCATCTTCTGTTAGCTCGTCGCCATGGGTTAGGATGAGGATGGGTGCGTCATCTGTTGCAGAAGGAATTGGGTGAGCTCAAACTATTTGTGGAAATGCTTCAGAAGGAAATTAAGATTGATTTTATAATGATGAAGATGATGATGATAAAAATGCAACCTTTATAGTGTATGTGATTACACGGATGATCCTAATTCTAATAATTTTGGGGAAATTTTTTATGAATATATCATGATAAAAATTATGTTATGATGAGCGTAAAAATGATTGAAGTTAGTAATATAATTCGATATTAAGGAATTGAAACTACTAATGTTGAAAGATGACATAAGTGGTTAACTTACTGCAACTCTCTCTAATAGATGGATGGTGGAAAAGCTGCCGGGTGGCATCGAGGGGTTGAAGATGGCCGGATGCGAGCGAGCTGTGGAGCTCAGAGAGGTTTGCTACGACGAAGGCGCAGTTTACACGGCGGCGCATGAATCGGTTGCCGGCTGCTGCTGAGGAGGAGGTGGAGGTGGACGTAGAAGGGAAGGAGGGGAAAGATGACGAGGAGGAAGATGGGGACATATGGCAGAGCTGACGATGGCGAACGCCATCTTCCACCCAATGAGATACTTCATCAAAGCCCTCGGAGATATGATCGTAGTCAAGGCCAGGAGAATCGAAAACGCAGAATCCGCTCTTCATCGAACGGAGAACATTGTGCTCCTCCAAGTTCAGCGTCCTCCCTTCCTTGCCTAAAAAACAGATGTTTACAACGAAAGATAAGAGCTTTAGAACAGAGGAGACATAATAATTGAACCTCCTTTTTAAGAGAAAGAAACTCACCCGCAGGGGACGAAGTGTGAGCGAACGGAACAAAGCCGGACCTCCCAAGAACCGAATACATGAGATTAACCAGCGAGCTTTTGCCAACTCCAGCGAAGCCAAGCAACAACAAAGTGATCACCGGAGGTATATCTGTGTCCTGCTTCGTTATCCCTCCAGCAGGAAACCAGAGATCCCCTGCTTTGTAGGTGAGCAGCCGATGCCGCAACTCATCAATCGATTCCGACGCCGCCGCCGCTAGCCTCTCCAACTCCCTCACAACCCTCATCCTCGCCGTCGCGGTTCTCGTATTCGCCGCCTTCGGTGTCTCTAACCCGGCGCCAGCTTCGTATTCCGGAAGCGACCTCCACCAGCAGAAACAGGGGACGCCTGGCTCGGAGTCACCGTCGCCGTCTGCCTCTCCGCCGCCGCCGCCAGGCCGTTGTAACTGTACGGTGCTCCTCATCCCGCTTCTCTTTTCCCTCTCCTTCGGCGCTCCTTTCCCTCTCCTTCGCTGGGGTTTCGCTTGGCGTCACTTCTTTCTGAGAACTCTCTCTCTCCTTCTGTCTCTTTCTCTTCTTTCTTTTTCCTGGGTTCGCCGAAGGTGTGCAAAAGTATGGCATTCTCACCCCACCAAAAAGAAAGAGGCTGTGTTACATTTTCCTAATATAATAATTGATCGACTGTTAGGAAAGAAGGTTCCGAGATTTTTCACTTTAGGGAAGAATTCCACACTTTTCTTGATATTCAAAAAAATATATATTTAATTATAATTTTAAGTATTAATAAATTAAAAATTAATGTAATGAAAAAACTCTTTATGGAAAAACAAAAAAATCATATATTTATGATCTATTTGGGATAATTATAGTTTTTTATAAAAGTAATTATAAAAATATTGTAGAAAAATTTATTTTTTAAAAAATTGTAAAAATAACTTAATAAAATAAATATTTTGAAAGTAATAGAAAATAATAATCAAATAGAATTGTGGAAAATAAAACACTAAGAAAATTATCTCAAATAGATCATGTTTAAGCCATTTTGATAAAAAAAAAATTATCAAAATATAGTAAATATTTTGTATTATAATAATTTTTTAATTATATTATATTTTAGATATATTAATTTAATAATTTAATTATATTGATGAATAATATATGATATATTAAATTAAAAATATAGATTATAAAAATAATTTCATCTTGATGTAAAATATCATCATAAAAGAAATTTTGGGTTATTTATAATTTTATAAAACATTTGCTATTGCATTAGACCCGCCTTATGATTTTATCATATGAGATAGACTTAAAATTGACCAAATTTTTATATTCATAATTTGAAATAATTACATTTATTTTCCTTGTCAAAATATTTGACCCAAATTCAAATTGGGTCAAATCAAAGTAACCACAGGTCACCTCATTTAACATGTTTATTACATGGGTTTTGGATCAACCTGACCCGAATAGCCTCGGCACTTCGTGTAAGCCTTAAGTGTTGGCCCGTGTAAATTGGTGTGGGTTGCATGCTAGGTCGACCGGGTTATCCCCTAACTGGGATGATCTGTTTTTTATTTATGATCAACCTGACCCGAATAGCCTGAGCATAACCTACCTAATTAATTGGAATTTATATGAACATTATATGAGCAGAGTTCGAGTATCGTTGTATCGTCTTTTAATTTGCATAATAAATGAATGTTATTTGGCTTAGGTAGGAAAAATTATTACGTGCGGTGTTTATAAGTGTTCGAAGGTCAATCCGAATGCGCCACATCACCCAATACATAGTACATTGGGTGATGTGACGTGTCATGACTGATCTTTGAATGCATTCGGACGCTGCACTTAATAATCTCTCTTTTTTATAGATTCAAATTGGGTAAATTCTAGACCCAATCCATGAAAGAAAATTAAAGAAATATTTTGTATCTCTAAGAGTTTAGGGTTTTGTTCAAGTCAAATGCATACAATAATAAGCTTAAACAGATAAGGTTGAGGTAAAGCTAAATAAAGAACATGAAAGAACAATCCTAAGTGGGAATATTCTCGAGCATTTTGCATATGATTTTCAGATTTGTTTTGACATTACATGTCACTACAACAAAATATTTAGAGATATCTCTCAGCATGCTTTCTAGAGAAAGTTTTTAACCATTTCAATCCTCAAGGGAGGTATTGTAACAACTTGAATTTCTGAAATAATTTTTAAAAGTAAAATTTGAATTCCTATTTGAAATACAGTACAACGCCGCTATGGCTTAGAGTGTCGAGGCATTGGGTTTCGGAGCGCGGTGGTGCACGGAATGTTTATCGCGGCATTGAAGTCTCTATTATATGGTAATTCTGGATTCAGCAAGCAGCACTATGGACCTATGGTAATGAGTGGTGGCGTGGTGGCGGTGGGTGCTACCCACAAAACATCATTTTTATATAATATTTTTTCACTCGCCGACCCTCATTAGTCATTACTCCCAGTTAGCGCCAGCTTGCGTGAGAAGAAACAAGAGATCGAGGGGGAGAGGAGGAGAGAGAAAGAAAGTTTGGATTTTGGTCATCGACCCGCCTTGCCGATTTTACGAAAATTTCTCATATCAAGGTATGTGACACAAATCATTTTTTTGTTTTAAAAAATTTTAATTTTGACTGCTGAATTCTCCTTAAAATTTATTTTACTTTATTGTCCGTAGTTTTACCGACCTTCCAAAGCGTAACTTTTCATATGTTATAGTACTGGATATTTTGAAAAATTTAGTTTGTTTATTTTGATAGTAAAATAAAAATTATGTTATTTTATTTTATTGGCTTAGAATAGAATTTTTAATATATGATAAATGCTTATTGTTGATATACAAGTATTGGAAATGAACTAAATGATTGGATAATAGCTGGTCGTTATTACTTTTATAATAATGTGTTTGTGTAAAACAAGTAAAAGCTAATTGACTCGTTGGCTAAATATTGATAGACCTGTAAAAGATGGTAGGCCAACGAGTTTTTTTTAAAAATACATTGGTTTGGTATTATCCTCTAGTGATTCATGTGATACAATGATACAACAATTGAGAGTTAATTATAAGGAGTTATTACTATGTTGAGGAAAAAGGTGTGACTACTCTGTTGAGCCAAAAATTGTTGACTACCAATTAAAAATTTTGTAATTAATATTGGATATGATTACTGAGATGCATATTATTAATTCATTATTATTGTTCGATCTGATGGTTATTGTATTGATTCACTACTAATGATGTATTGTTTTACTATTCTACTTATTACTGTTTTACTACCATTGTATTGTTTACTCTAAACATCTTATGCTCATAAACCTAAGGGTCGAGCTAAAATTTATTGGTTCAATAAGCCTAAGAGCCGAACTTCTAAATCATTTTATGCTCATAAACCTAGGGTCTAGCTTTATTTTCATCAACCTACCTAAAAGGTTGAGAAATAAATTTTATAGGTTCAACAAACCTAAGGGTCGAACCTCTAAAATCTTTTAAGCTCACAAACCTAAGGATCGAGCTCTATTTTTATCAACCACCTAAAAGGTTGAGAAATAAAGTTTACAGGTTCAACAAGCCTAAGGCCCGAACCTCTAAAAACTGTCATGCTCATAAATATAAGGATCGAGCTGTTTGGATCAATCTAAAAGAATTGAGACAAAATGTCAAATTACATGTGGACATAACAACGAATTCATCATGTGAAAATCACACAACAAATTCGTTGGGAGATAATTTGTTGAAATTTAATAAAATTGCAATTTGACAAAACGATTGAATTAATGTCGAAACAAAAACGAGGCTTGGTTCTAATAATAATAAAAAAAAAAACAGAAGAATTAAAGATCAAAAGATAATCAGACAAAAAAATAAGTCCTTTAACATTTAGTTGACATATTCAGTTGAAGATAATTCAGAGATAGGTTTCAATACCTTTCAATTTAATAGTTGATCGCAATCTTCAAACAGATCTCAATGCATGCCAAAAGAGTTTAAAAAAAAAAAAATCATAGTACTAGATGGTGGTCCTAAGATTGCAAAGCAAATAATGCTCTTAGGGGATTTGAAATCAAGATCCAACTACTGTTAGTAGATATCTTCAATGCAATCCCCAAAATTCAATATGTCATCTCTGTTTGGCAAAGTTTGGAAGTGGTTAGCATGCATAAAGACTTTCATTTGTGGTATTCGCTTGAGTTTATGCAAAGATAGTCATTTGAGTCATGCCTATAGTGGTTACTTCAATTATTAAGTTACCACTAAAAATCATCAATATAAGAGAGAGAGAGAGAGAGAGAGAGAGAGAGAGAGAGAGAGAGAGAGAGATGTGCTGAAAATAATAAATTGCAAGAGAAGCTTCTGCAATTACATCAGCAGCTCAATTCAAGCAAAAGTGAAGTGCCATCTTTAGCTCATGCGCAAAAATGTGATTGAGGAAATTAGCAAGCTAAAGTTTAAATTGCAATAGTTTGGTTGGCCACGGCCCTCAAATAGAACAATTATTACGTCCTCTAACCTGACGTAGAGGTACGTTCAGCCGCCAATAACATGTCGCCACGTGCTCTTACTCTTTACCGCGCGGCCCGACGACTTGACCCGGAGCGGAACCCGGGAATGCTATGTTCGCGATTTTCTCGGTATTGCTTAGATCTGCAAAAATGAGAAATACCGCCCTGCTGTCGTCCTCCACCGCGGAACGCTTACTCCCTTCCGCCATTACTGTTCTGAGCCGAGCTCTGATACCAATATGGTGTGGAACCAGGAATACCTGCAGAAAACACAAGAAAAATAGAGGATTCTAGCAAGGAAGAGGAAGAATCAGAGGGTTAGCATTTAGAAAGAAAGAAGAAGAAGAATAAGGAGGCGAAGAAAGAACGAAGTAGGGGTTTGATACTTTTAGATTTCTGTAATTCAATTCTATCTGCTCTACAGTTCTCCTTCTCCTATCTATACTGGTAATAACTTTGCTAAAAAGAAAATAAAACCATACTAAGCATAAACTGCTAAAAACAGAAAAAGGTAATAGGCGGTAGTGGAGCCTGTAGGTTCGTTAGGGAAAACGCATGTGGTAGTCTGCTGGACTAGGATAGACCACATCACAATATAATATAAATAAATAAATAAAGTACTAGATTGTTCCGTACATGTTACAATTTGTATTCATATTATTGAGTGATATTCAAGAGAATATAATGGATATAACTAATGGCATATATATTTAACTATAACTAAGGAGATATATGCCAGCAAAGCAAAGCTTCTGAAGCAAAGATATGGTTCAGGACTCAGGCAATAGCTGTAGCAATAATCGAGCGGGACTTGAACATTAGAATGATCAGCAAAACCCCCTCGTTGCCAAAATGACCCTCCAAGGGGCGGTGCTGCAACGGTCATCATTGTCCTGCAAAAATTTGTCTGAAATAACAAAACCATTCTCCTTGGTTGCCAAAAAGGCCATCCAGGAGGAAACCAGTGAGAGAAGCAGCAATCGGCAATTCCAACCAACGCCAGCTCCAGCTCCAGCCAACAAAGAATAGACATCATTAACAGAATGAGAAATAACCAACAACCAAAAAGAGAAACCAACCAAAGGGACATTCCACCAGAAAGATCCCCTATCATCCCAAGAGATGCATAAGATTATGGCCATTTTTCCACTTCTCCAGCT